CCAAACCAAACCAAAGTCTTTCTTATTTCAAATTTCTGTTTGTTTTGGATTATCCAGTTTTCAAGATCTTTCTAGAAGGTTTGAGTTACAACACATTCCCAACATACATGACATAAAGTTTCACTATCAACATTACAAAAACCATATATGTTCCTCCAATATCAAATTTGAGTTTCAGATCTTCAAAAGACTTAAAATATTTTCATTACAAAGGTCCTTAATTGTTAAAATTCCATTTTTAGCCCAATGCCTAATAAAGTGATTTGGGTTTTTGAAATTATCACTATGAAAAAAGCCCCGCGCTTAGACATGATTTTGAAAATGAAAGTTGGGCAAGGCCTCAACACTAAATAAATATACAGCTTTGCAGCCTATCGGGCTTACACGACAAAAATTGGCTTGCTACGCGCCTGGTAAATGCGTTTCCGCGATGGGTACCAGTAAGTTCACAATCCCAGGGAAAGTGCGGAAAGTTGAATTTGATGATTTTGATAAATGCGCAATTCGCCAGTACATTCAACACTGTTACACAGTAACCAAGACAATACATTCAACACTGTTACACAGTAACCAAGACAATGCCAACACTGACAGTTTATCGTTTTACATACCCTCGGCACCTTAATGGTAAAATGGACTGCACCGCTATTCAGATGCACGGGTTCAAATGACAGGTCGGCATTATTCTTAAGTTCGTCTCACAGTACAAGGTTCACTTCAGAAGAATTTCAAAGAGACTCCCTTCCTTTTCCTAATGCAATACTCCTTACAACCTTCAGTAGTACTTAAGTAGTATCGGGATATATCGTCTCTTGTGGCGATACATCGATGTATCACAGCCCTTGCGATATTAATATCCTGATGTATTGCCTAAATGTGTTTTGTATTGATGCATTCGTATCGCATAGTTGACTATGCAAACATCGATACTATCGATGAATCGTTACACGAATCGTCAGATGGCCTCTTTTGATTCGGAATACAGATGTTGTCCCATACGGACGTTTTCTCAAATTTCAGTTACCCGACAGAATATACTGTACACCTATTTTGATTCCATCTCTTGGGTAGATTATAGAAAACTGTAGTGATTGCAATTAGTTCATAAAGTTATATAACTAAGCAGTTTCTGTAATTATTGAAAGCTTACTGCCTGACATCATATATGTTGCTTATGCGCCTTTAATTTTTGCTTTTTGCTGTCTGATTTGTTATACATTATATAATAATGTTAATCATTTTGGCATCCCAATATCATGGAATATAATGTGAACTTATTAATCTATCAAAGTACCGAAACGTTTTATAACTATGCTTTACTGTTATTGGGTGAAACTGTTAATTAAATGTACCTCCGTACAAAATTTCCAGAAATGAATAGAAACTGAAAATTGCTAAATAAATGGAAAACTACATTGGGTACAGATTGCAAACGGTTGTTATTTATATACTTGCTTTAAATCATCAGTGTGCAGATCATGTCACAAACATAACAACTGAAGGATGGGTGTGGAAACAGTGGGGGAAAACACGTGTAAAGTCTCTGAGTCAGCTGAGATTATCCTTCAAAAACATCATATGTACATTTAACAATCACTTATCATTAAGTGCAACAAAGCATTACAAAACGCCATATTTCCACCTTTGGCTGGAGTTCTAAATATTTGATACCGAAAGCCTGTCGAAGTTAACTCAAAGGAAATAACCGTTGTGTTTTTACAGTGATGGCTTAATCATAGTCATAATGAATTATAGGCTGCTATGCGTTTTCGATGTGATTGAGCCAGTGAAATACTAATATTTACCAAATCAAATTCTAAAGGAGCTTTTCTTCAAGCAGTGACTTAACGCCATACATAGCTAGACTTGCTTAGATTATAGACTAAATATAAGGCATCATAGATATTTCACAAGCATGGTACAGGACCCTTAGCCTCATTAGCGTATTGCCTCACCACTTGCGAATTAAGCGTTGGCAGATGTAAATGTTACTGAAGATGTTGGTCCCCGCCAGCCACCGGTGTTTGGTATTGTTTACTCAGTAACCCGAACCCTGCAGTGTGTTTTAACAGACGCTGAACCTGGGAATATCTAGATATGCTTCATTTAGGGTGTAAGCATTACAGTAAGGGCTGAGCGGAAGGGGAAATAATATCGTTCTCTGACTATGATAAAACAGAGACTATATAACAGACTATTGTATGGTCTCTGGATACAGATTGGGACAAGACATGGAAAACAAAATATTTGGACAACAGACCATTGTTTGAGTCTTTTAATTGTAAATATGATTCCAATAGCTTAACCCAGATTTCGATATCCTTCGAATGTACATTCGGTTGAAACTGGAAAGTATACTTGTATCCCGTGACAAGAACGAATACTTAATAATTCAAAAGCATAACAGCACGAGTATCCATTTTGTCTTTTTGCCTGCATACGCTCAATCACAAGAATTGTGTCTCCAGGTCACGGAGCATCAGTGGTTTAGGGGCCCGTATTGCAATTCTCGTGCGTTTCCATGTGTTTTTGACGCGGCATGGACGCCTCGTAACATCACTATTTGATTATGATTCACAAACACATGCTCATGATATGGTTGGAATCGTGCCATGGATTAGCAGATATTTATCATGAAGGTTTTTTATGTAGGTGGCTTGAAACGCGCTTTGACAAAGGCCTATAGGTTCGATCACATTAATATTCGTTTTACAGCTTCTTTTCTCTAAAGATGCTCACGCCAAAACTGACTTAAATTCTAATCGCAGATAAAAGAATAAGACAATAAATAGTATGCCAAATTATCGTTACCATGACAACCCTGTGACATTTCACCTTATGTAAGAGAGCAATAAATACGATGCTGGGTATAGCAGTACTACTGCAGATGATAGTGTATGTCGTAAATTTCAATAAGTTGCTGCAGCGCTATCCCTAATCACGGGATATCTATACAATTATATGTGTGATGGAGGAGAACCTGCGTCGCTACTTTTCTCAAGTAGTAATCTGAATACATGTATGTAGCGTGAAAGGCAGATACCTATAGAAGAAAGTGTTTGCCCTACCTGTATCAACCATGTCCCGTGTCTATAAAGGGATATAATGTGGGAATGAATGACATGTACTTTTATCTGGACCCGTTTATGATGATACATACTGCGATCTTTCACAATAATCTCACTGGCTATCAGATTGAGGGTACGTTTCAAACATAACCGGTACTTCAATTATTGTATTTATACAGAAACATTCTTCGAACTTTCTCCATATACGTCCGTCAGATACATTGCACACTACCCCTTTCTCTCTTGATCTTCCCTCAAACGACTGTTGCAAGTTCGAAGAATCCTGGGCGGTGGGGTAGCCTAGTGGTTAAAGCGTTGGCTCGTCACGCCGAAGGCCCGGGTTCGATTCCCCACATGGGCACAATGTGTTAAGCCCATTTCTGGTGTCCCCCGCCGTGATATTGCTGGAATATTGCTAAAAGCGGCGTAAAACTAAACTCAGTCAGTCAGTGACTCAGTCAGTCGAAGAATCCTGGTCAAAGTAGAAAAGTCTTAAGACTATTCCCTACAAATCTGTAACTTACACATTGTACCCTAAATGGGTAGAACTTCCGTTCGGGGGAATATCAGGAAGACAACGATACCATTATCTCCAATGTTGTAGAAAGCACTCCACTTACTCAGGAAAACAATAACCCACTGAGATATTGCATTCTTGCCGGAATCACCGACAGGTTTTAATCTTCAAAATGTTTTCATTTTATATTGTATGAATTGTTTGCGTCACGATATGGCTGAGATATTGCCGATGTGACGTTACGTATTAACTCAGTCACTCACTCACTCACTTAAACATTCGAGAGCATAATTATGTTTATCGAAGTACCTCAGTTTTCACGCTCATTCTGACTGGTTTCAAAATAACTGATTCTATCCACCTCTAAAGTCTTAGACTTTGTCTTCTCCAATTGATAGTCTTTACGTTGAAGCAGACGAACCCTCTATTAACCAACGCCTTGTAAGTTCTCATCGCACTGTCATAACTTTCTCGGAGATTTACGACACGGCAGATTGCCCGTGCAAAACATGCGACAGTCTGAAGGAAAGCGCAGGGACGATATCTGCTATAAAGAGACTACCACTGCAAAGCGTGGTCCACATGCAGATATGGGAGACGATGTCAATTTCAATTGACAATGACGAGAGCTAGCGCTACACAACATTAAAATACACATACAGTGTAATGGATACTGATACAAAACTACTGAAGTACCTTAACTGCTGTGTAATCACAAGTTCACTTGCATGAGCGCGAGTGTGACTGAGTGAGTGAGTGAGTTCAGTTTTACGCCACACTCAGCAATATTCAAGCTGTATGTCCGCGGTCTGTAAATAATCGAGTCTGGACCTTTACTGCTTTCGACATCAGGTACCAAATGTTTAGAAATTATCCAAGCCAAGGAGCCGTCGATGTTGCTCGCAACTTTAATTTCTAAACGTTTTCGTCAGTAAACGAGAAACACTGTCTATTTGAAATGTGGTCTCGAAGGCTGTCACTGATGAGGTTACAACACGCGACTAGGTGACTCCTATTTACGGGTAATTGTCCAAAATTGATGTACAGGTGTGCGTGTTTATGAATAACTTTGAGATCCGGTTTCTAGGCTTGATCATAGTAAACCATGTCAGTTTGAACGTTGGCCCGAGTTTTCCAATAATAGTACTGATGGAAGCAAACACTGGGTGAGCCTCACGTTGACTGCGTATGCAGCATTTTCATTATTTGCATTATTTAGAAAATACGACAGTAATATGACAAGTGTATAAAGTCCAAGCTATTTGAGCTCACGAACCCCCTTCTGCCAGACTCGAACCCAGACACTTCCATTCCTCCATTGAGTCATTTTGGAGATTGCAGGAACAAACTTCCATCTGAATGGGTGGAAAGAAATACCATACACATGAATCAACATATTATATTGTTATTTTCAGCACCTGTCTCGGAAACACAGATAGAGAGCGGGAGGCGAGAGACGCTGCGGGGATCCAGCCAGGACGATAGTGGTGGGTAGTGTTACGTTTTTATGTATATGATGTTATCTAAGGTGAATTTGTTAGAATGATTTTCTTAGTTGACCCACGTACTTTTTAAATAACCTCATCAATAAATAAAATGACAGTTTTATGTTTTTAAAATCCTTTTTAAACTGAACAAAGACACAGCGACATACTGGAATGGCGTGTTACAACCACCCAAGATCCATCACTCAATACCATCTACCTGCATCATGAATAATACCCTGCACATATGTTTAGCAACAGCACCGGCGCATTGGTGTAGTTGTTTCCATGTCACCTCCTGCACGTCTCTGACGAGAACAACTTTGTGTTGAAGTCTTCTACATGACATATTCTGTGTTGAAGTATTCTACATGACATGTTCTGTGTTGAAGTATTCTACATGACATATTCTGTGTTGAAGTATTCTACGTGACATATTCTGTGTTGAAGTCTTCTACATGACATATTCTGTATTGAAGTATTCTACGTGACATATTCTGTGTTGAAATATTCGACATGACATGTTCTGTGTTGAAGTCTTCTACATGACATATTCTGTGTTGAAATATTCTACATGACATATTCTGTGTTGAAGTATTCTTCATGACATATTCTGTGTTGCAGCCTTGAGCGAAAGGATAGCACTGATACCTGGGTCTTCACAGATGTCTGATGTACACGGTAGGTGGGGGAATATTGTGGACCAGATGTGCTAGTCGCATTGTGTATACAATAATACTATACATGATATATTGTCAGCTCATCAGATGAGTAAGAAAGCTTTTTCTGTTTCAAAAACAAACCCTTGTGTCATCTAGTGAAGAGATTTATTGTTTGTGAAATTATCACTTCATATAGAATATATACTTTACAATGAGATAGTTGATATACATCTTTCTGTCCTCTGTAATCTAACATCAGCGGGGGTACACCTTATCAGCACAATACCCTTTCTATATGATATCAGAATACATTCAATGTATATAATGTCAGAATACATTCAATACTTGCATCAGTGACCACACTTATAGTCTAATGAACACGTTGTTTATTCTAACCATCCTGTTTGTCTCCACAGCCACGAGCGGAGAGGGAGACACGCCGATGCCTGGGACCCCCTCAAGACCTGACACACGAGGTGGGTGGAGACAATGTCACGTGTGTTGTAGTGGGCACACCTCTCTCCACACACACACAAAAACTGTGTTAGAACTGTTTGATAACATTCTATTCATGTAAATGACTAATGTGTGAAAAACATCAACTAGTTCTTGTGATTCCCTGTACACCCGCCATGTTGCTGTCAGTCCTTGTGATTCCCTGTACACCCGCCATGTTGCTGTCAGTTCTTGTCATTCCCTGTACACCCGCCATGTTGCTGTGAGTTCTTGTGATTCCCTGTACACCCGCCATGTTGCTGTCAGTTCTTGTGATTCCCTGTACACCCGCCATGTTGCTGCCAGTTCTTGTGATTCCCTGTACACCCGCCCATGTTGCTGTGGAGTTCTTGTGATTCCCTGTACACCCGCCATGTTGCTGTCAGTTCTTGTGGATTCCCTGTACACCCGCCATGTTGCTGTCAGTTCTTGTGATTCCCTGTACACCCGCCATGTTGCTGTCAGTTCTTGTGATTCCCTGTACACCCGCCATGTTGCTGTCAGTTCTTGTGATTCCCTGTACACCCGCCATGTTGCTGTCAGCCATACTGCATGTATAGATGATGTATCGAGTGTTTTGTATCATCAGTGTAAGATGTGAACAATGTAGCTGTAAGATGAAGATGTCCGACCTGTGTACAGAGTTTACTTTGTGTTACAGCAACACCGACACCCGCACGGAGAGACGCCCGGGCAGACGACGACCTCCATGTCGCCTGCAGGGAGGGGAACCTGGCGGAGGTGAAGCGGATCCTGGACACAGGTCGGGCTGACGTCAACTGTAGAAGTGTGGACGGGATGACACCGGTGATGTGGGCAGCACTGGGGGGACACAGGGATGTTGTGGAGCTCCTTGTGAGTCGAGGTGCTGATGTGTCACTGGTGGACGATAACGGTGACAACATCCTTCACTGCGCCTGTATGGTAGGAGACAGGAAGACAGTGGAGTTTGTCCTGTCTCTGGACGTGGTGGACATCAACAGTAGAGGATGGAGGAGCAACACACCGGTGATGGAGGCAGCAGAGGGGGGACACAGGGATGTTGTGGAGCTCCTTGTGAGTCGAGGTGCTGATGTGTCACTGGTGGACGATGACGGTAACAACATCCTTCACTGCGCCTGTATGGTAGGAGACAGGAAGACAGTGGAGTTTGTCCTGTCTCAGGACGGGGTGGACATCAACGTCAGGAACAACGACGGGGAGACAGCGGCCGACGTGGCGAGAGACCGGGGACATCATCAACTGTGGGATTTCCTGGTGTCACATGGTACACACACAGTGAAGTGAATGTAGTGTTGATGTAGACAGTGATGGAGGACATGTCATTACTGACACTGAAGTTGTGCATGCCGTTCATGTCGTCGCGCTGTTTATAATTCAGTATGAAGGTGAGAATATTTGTTGTGTTTGAGGAGAAATAAAACTTGTTGAGAACATTTTCAGACATTTTGTTGTTTATGGAACTTTACGTGATCAGGTAAGGATATTGTTGACTATAAATATTGATGATATGTCGTCGGTACATGAACGCCGCATCTCGTAATGTTGTTCTGTTTTAATTATGTGTCATAATTTTCTCATTAATCGTGAAACAGACAGCGACAAACTGTTTGTTTACATCTCGCTGCACTCTGTGACCTCAGACTGAGCCGAGGTTCGCCAGATGACGTGGTGCCAAATGTACAGTGACGTCACACTGCTGATGACGTCATAGTATTACCACAGCCACTGCGCCTCACCTCTGCGAGGTTGTTGTGACATTACACTCTAGATCTAATTAATAGCACACGGAGCCGCTTGGATTCATTCATTCGATTCAAAAGTGCAGCAATGTTGGATCGGTGTTGAGTATTACGAATAAGTGACTACTCAAAAAAATTATTTCAATAACTTTCTCTTAACGTGCCGATTGAAACAGCATTTGTCCTGAAGAAAAATAAATGAACTAACATATATACATGTAGCTAGTACATTCTGATATGAAAAAAGGCAGACACCCGGTGTCTAATTCTCACATTTGATAGAATCTTCAAATATAAGGAAGTTACTGTAAAAACTGCACCATGCTTGTTTTATGTATTTTGCAATGTCGGAGAACGAGGACATTGGTATGTTCATTAGTAGAGCGGTCGAGCAGCGCTACGTGTACATGTACGCCTACGTAGCTCACACGTCCACGTACACGCTACCAAACTTTAGTGACCGTGAGTAAATCTTACGTGTACGGGTACATGGTCTCGGTATAAGTGAGTGAGTGAGTTTAGTTTTACGCCGCACTCAGCAATACTTGGTATATGTAAATCGACTTTTGACTGGTCAAATTTTCCGACTTAAACAAGTCTGTAACACGCTTACAATCGTGTGAATCTAGTTAGTAATGGCGGCAAATATAAATCTTTTGGCTGCCGTGGAAGACAACGATGATATTTTGTTGCTTTCTGCTTTGAAAGAAGATGATACTTTGTCCGACAGATATATCAAATTACATGAACTCAGTGACGATTAGTGCCGTAAGTGCTTCAGATTTACTAGAGAAGATTTATTCACACTTAAAGAAACCCTACTGCTACCTGACGAATTCCACTTCTCGAATCATACAATTTGTTCAGGCATTGATGGTCTGTGCATTCTCCTTAGAAGACTCTCTTATCTAAATCGGCTTGAAGACTTAAAACACTTTTTTGGCAGATAGACTTCAGAATTGTCGCACATTTTTAATACTGTTTTAAATTACATTTCTAACATGCACAGTCATTTACTAGACAATCTGGACAAACCTTGACTATCACATGGTCATCTAGAAGATATGTCTCGATCCATTCATTACCAAGTTTCACCTCTCACTAACTGCTGGGGGTATATTGATGGTACTGTGCGACCGATATGCCAGCCTCAACAAAACCAAAATCTCGTTTTCAATGGACATAAACGTGTACATGGTTTGAAGTACCAGAGTATAGTAACACCCAATGGAATGATAGCCCATTTTTATGGCCCCATTGAAGGCCGACGCCATGATGCTGGTATGTTGAGAGAAAGCGGGGTTGAAAAATGACATGTCAGAGAATATGACAACTTGAAACAATGATGTGTTTTGTGTATATGGTGACCCAGCGTATTTCACCTTACATAATATCGCGCCATACAGAGGACGCGTGATAACAGCTAATCAAGCTCTATTCAACAAGAAGATGTCAGCTGTCAGAGTCTGTGTTGAGTGGACTTTTGACAAGTTGCTCACACAATTTGCATTTCTAGATTTCAAGAAGAACCCAAAACTGTATTTGCAGCCAGTTGGTAAATACTACCAAGTTGCTGCTATCCTTACAAACTGCCACACTTGCCTGTATGGAAGTATGTTCAGCTCGATCCACCATCACTTCAAGTATACATGCGCACCTAAACTAGATTATAACTGTTTGAGACCTGTGCTTTCATGTAGAGTGAGTGAGTATGGTTTTACGCCGCTTTAGCAATATTCCAGCAATGTTCCAGCAATATCACGGCGTGAGATACCAGAAATGAAGACAAAGTGCTTTCAATGTTACAGCAATTATGTGTAGGCAATTTCCTTTTGCGAATACGGTAGCTATGCCCCTGGTAGTGAAATATTGATTGTAAAGATAACTGTATATTCCAATGTCACACGTAGGCGTACATGTACACGTAGCGCTGCTCAACCTCTCTAATATCTATATATTTCCGGGATTGTACAAAAACAAATATCTGGGTTTCAAAGTCAGAATTTGCCACTCTTTCGACAGAAAATAAACTGTTTTTACCATTTAAATAATGCCCTGAATAGATATTAAACAATTAGATAGTTTTACCGTGAATCTTAATGTGGACAACACGAGCGTCCGTTTGACATCAATTTAACGTTAGGGGAAAATAATACAAAACAGACAAACTTTTTTTCCGAAAAGGGGGGGTATGTTTCCAATCTTACACCGGCACGCTCTGTGTGTCAAAAAGCAGAAAGTTAAAATGCGGTAATTCACGTCCAAGTGAGCACTGACCTAATAATGTCTGTAGATATTGTGGAAGCTGGCAGACAATAATAATATGCTACCAAGAACACGTTTGCATACCTAACACATTTGATACTTGAATCAAAATAATACTGTAATAATCTGTAAATAAATTGAATTCATGTTTCACATGAAGGCCCGTTTACGTTTTGGGCCAATTCGGATCCCGTTTGCTACAGTTTTCGCGCACTCCACGAGGCGATTTGAAAGCAAAGCTATGGGAAATGCATGGTTTGTATCGTAATCGGAGTATTTTGTTGAACACAGCTGCATGTACGATTATATCAAAGGCGATGCTTGTCTGATAACAGAATTTATTTCAAGATTTCGCAAGTGGAAGAAATTGTTTGCTAGTATAACTCGATCGCGAGTGTGAGCACATGCCCCAACTGCGGGTCAGAAAATCGATAAACTAGGCCCCAGTTTAGTATCAACACCCCCTACTACATGTACATATTCCAGCCAAGGCCTACATCAAGTTGTCGAGCTCACCTTGGTATAGTGCAAAGTCGTCTAATTATTGGGCGGTGTTTCTTTTCGTGGCCGTCCATTGCAGGGACCGAACAAAAAGCCCACAAAATAGCCCTATGCATAGCAAATAAATATTTACCAGATGATTTGGTTAAAACTGACAGCTCTGGCAAGACATTTGAAATTGAGCAACCTCTGTCACCAGAGACCATATAACATCTATTATATGGTCTCTGCTGTCACAACACTTCTTGTGTAAACACTGACCATTTGACTGTCGAGACCCACGAACACAATATGGAAAGAATTCACTGTCAACAACAGGGCTTGTGCACCAAGAGTCATAAACCCTACTGTTTAATGTAAGAATATACATTATGTTGTTAGGTCTTTCTGTTTGGGGCCAGTTTTGTGTATGGATGATTCTCTCTTTGGTGTTGATGTCTCAGATACGCAGTATTTCTTTTCAATAACATGTCTTTTGAATATTGATATTTTTACAATGATGGAGTTTGAATAATTCTAACTTTTTCTTAGCACAGCGGTCCTTACTATTTTTGATTTCTTGTATGTTTTAGCTTTGTTGAGAATTTAATTCAGTCCCATTGAAATATTCAGTCTTATTGAATAGGAAATGTATACAGTAACAGAAAACCATGACTCAATGGACGTGTATCCATAGCAGTCTCTAGTGCCAGTTTGAAACACTTGAATGTCCTGCTATACGTGTACAACCGTGATATTCTGAACACTTGAATGTCCTGCTATACGTGTACAGTCGTGATGTTCTGAACACTTGAATGTCCTGCTATATGTGTACAGTCGTGATATTCTGAACACTTGAATGTCCTGCTATACGGGTACAATCGTGATATTCTGAACACTTGAATGTCCTGCTATACGGGTACAGTCGTGATATTCTGAACACTTGAATGTCCTGCTATACGTGTACAGTCGTGATATTCTGAACACTTGAATGTCCTGCTATACGTGTACAATCGTGATATTCTGAACACTTGAATGTCCTGCTATACAGTACAACCGTGATATTCTGAACACTTGAATGTCCTGCTATACAGGTACAATCGTGATATTCTGAACACTTGAATGTCCTGCTATACGTGTACAGTCGTGATGTTCTGAACACTTGAATGTCCTGCTATACGGGTACAATCGTGATATTCTGAACACTTGAATGTCCTGCTATACGGGTACAATCGTGATATTCTGAACACTTGAATGTCCTGCTATACGGGTACAGTCGTGATATTCTGAACACTTGAATGTCCTGCTATACGTGTACAGTCGTGATGTTCTGAACACTTGAATGTCCTGCTATACGTGTACAGTCGTGATGTTCTGAACACTTGAATGTCCTGCTATACGTGTACAATCGTGATATTCTGAACACTTGAATGTCCTGCTATACGGGTACAATCGTGATATTCTGAACACTTGAATGTCCTGCTATACGGGTACAATCGTGATATTCTGAACACTTGAATGTCCTGCTATACGTGTACAGTCGTGATATTCTGAACACTTGAATGTCCTGCTATACGGGTACAATCGTGATATTCTGAACACTTGAATGTCCTGCTATACGGGTACAGTCGTGATATTCTGAACACTTGAATGTCCTGCTATACGTGTACAGTCGTGATGTTCTGAACACTTGAATGTCCTGCTATACGTGTACACAGTCGTGATGTTCTGAACACTTGAATGTCCTGCTATACGTGTACAATCGTGATATTCTGAACACTTGAATGTCCTGCTATACGTGTACAATCGTGATATTCTGAACACTTGAATGTCCTGCTATACGGGTACAATCGTGATATTCTGAACACTTGAATGTCCTGCTATACGTGTACAACCGTGATATTCTGAACACTTGAATGTCCTGCTATACGTGTACAACCCGTGATATTCTGAACACTTGAATGTCCTGCTATACGTGTACAACCGTGATATTCTGAACACTTGAATGTCCTGCTATACGGGTACAATCGTGATATTCTGAACGCTTGAATGTCCTGCTATACGGGTACAATCGTGATATTCTGAACACTTGAATGTCCCTGCTATACGTGTACAATCGTGATATTCTGAACACTTGAATGTCCTGCTATACGTGTACAACCGTGATATTCTGGAACACTTGAATGTCCTGCTATACGGGTTGCAATCGTGATATTCTGAACACTTGAATGTCCTGCTATACGTGTACAAACCGTGATATTCTGAACACTTGAATGTCCTGCTATACGGGTACAATCGTGATATTCTGAACACTTGAATGTCCTGCTATACGGGTACAATCGTGATATTCTGAACACTTGAATGTCCTGCTATACGTGTACAACCGTGATATTCTGAACACTTGAATGTCCTGCTATACGGGTACAACCATGATATTCTGAACACTTGAATGTCCTGCTATACGGGTACAATCGTGATATTCTGAACACTTGAATGTCCTGCTATACGGGTACAACCGTGATATTCTGAACACTTGAATGTCCTGCTATACGTGTACAACCGTGATATTCTGAACACTTGAATGTCCTGCTATACGTGTACAACCGTGATATTCTGAACACTTGAATGTCCTGCTATACGTGTACAACCGTGATATTCTGAACACTTGAATGTCCTGCTATACGGGTACAATCGTGATATTCTGAACACTTGAATGTCCTGCTATACGGGTACAACCGTGATATTCTGAACACTTGAATGTCCTGCTATACGTGTACAACCGTGATATTCTGAACACTTGAATGTCCTGCTATACGTGTACAACCGTGATATTCTGAACACTTGAATGTCCTGCTATACGTGTACAACCGTGATATTCTGAACACTTGAATGTCCTGCTATACGGGTACAATCGTGATATTCTGAACACTTGAATGTCCTGCTATACGTGTACAATCGTGATATTCTGAACACTTGATACAAGCATAGCTCATCTTTATTTTCTTAGTCTGCCGCGATAGTGCTGGAATATTGCTGAAAGCGGCGTAAACCAAATTCACTCACTATTTTTTAGCTATGTTTGTATGTACATGGCACATCATATAATTACAACAGGCTGTTGAGAATAGTTATTTTATAGTTTGTGATAATCTCAACCAGAAGTTTGAACTTTAATGGTTTGTCATAGCAATGACTTCTCCCTTGCAAAAGTATATAATGATGTCTCCCTGCTATGCAGAGCGCGGAGTTTTCATGTAGCCGACACAGACAGCGTGGTCTACCCTGTGTCACTCGCCTATGAGCAATCTGTGTAAAGACACCACTCTTCAGGTATTTTATTCAATTCTATGTCAAGAAATAGTTTAATACAGTAAAGTAACAACAAGTTGTGAACATTCAATGTAAATTAATGTAGTTGTAGTGTTGGTTTTACACAGTGTTCTCAGTTTTCGTGCACTGCGATGTGCGAGGTAAACATTCATGTGAAGTTGTTAGTTTCATATGAGCGAAGTAATTATCGCACAATATATTTTGCTAGTATTTTCACAACGAGTTAATTTTGCATATTTTGTGAAAGGTGTAAAGAGCAGTGGTAGTATTATGCACCAGTGTCAGTGTCAGACTGTCTAGGTAAAATGTTCAGCATTCAGTAATAGTGTGGATGCTTTGGATATTTATGTCAAGTACATGACATAATTGGAAAGTTTATAACTTTAAGTATATTTTCATGTTAAACGTGAGGCATGTGTATTATAAGCAGTTTAACTGTTAATTTCAGAACACACAAGATATTCATCTGTCAACTAGTTCTTGCTGTAAGCAAGTATATGAATGATGGTGAATACAGTTGAAGATTACTGCACAAATTGCTGACGTGTTTGTCCTCTTTGCCTTATGCACCAAGCTTTAAGTACTTTATTGTGGCTTTTGCTGATTTCATTATCAGTTTTACTTTCTGCAGTGACAGCACACCCGAGCCCATGTCTCAGCGTCAAGAGTGATTTTGCTGGACTCTTAAAGTTGACACTATGCACAGCACTGTGAGCACAGGCTTGGAAGTTCCGAGTAAAGGTTGTATCACAAGGTAATGACCTGCGCAGTGCCTTGTTTGTAGATTCACACTTTTGACTATTCAGGTTGAATTGGGTCTTGTCTATTATTTTAGGGCCGAGATGAATGTCAGTCAAATTTTGAAAGAGAATTCCATTGTGAGTATTTTTGAAGTTTTTATCCAAATATTTGCTGTGTAATAACCAATTTTGCAATTTTTTATCACAAACTCTGTTTGCAGCTTTCTGCATGCCTGAACTGGATGGGGGTGGAATATCTGCACTCATGCAGAGGACATGGAAACTCTCACTCCCCATGGGACATTTCGACAGGCCCATCTGGAGTCCAGCGTTGGCAGTGGAGGAGCGACGTCCCTTCTTCGCTGCAGCTACTTCTACCTCCTTGTAGAGCTTATGATGCTTAGACAGGTAGCCACAGTTTGTACATTTCAGTCTCTCTGTCCAGTTGAGGCCCCACTGCTGTTCATGCTCTATATCCATAACCAGGCCCCCCTTACAGTTTGTGGATGTCGTGGCGTGCTCACGAAATGCCTCAATGAACAGTTTCTCTGTCTCCCCAACATGGAATAGATGATACACATCAGCAGCAGCCCTGCAGATTTAAAATAAACCCCACTGACTACCTGTGAAACTTCTGAATGATTATTTACAATATGTTGTTGTGTTCGACATTTGTGAATTATCTCCCTTGCTGGATGAAATGTATTTTCTATTTCTATCCCAGTTTAGCCCTTCATTATTGTATTAAAACACTGGGGTTTTTATTGGTTGTGAAAAACACTCATTCATGAGTCTGAGTTTGGCCACTTACTTCACTTAATCACTGAAAAATGTGAATAAGATTGAAAATTTCTTATGTCAACTTGTTTAAAGATAAATTCTTTTAATGAGGCAAGTTTGGCCACCCAAATCATTTAACAATGAGGATTTTTTGTTACCTGCAAGTATTTCAAAGCTTGGGTGACATGAATAAGTAGATTATAGTCATCTTACCTGTCATTTTTTGTTTTCAGTGAACAATCCTCCTCCTGAGTGGTGTTTCTCATCCTCGGCCTTAACTGGCGGTATGGCAGACTGGTGAGTGTTTGTACTGGCTGGACTCCAGTCACCCCTGCACTGGTCACTTTGTTATGTAGCTCAGGGGTCAACCCGACAGTCTGGGGCACTTTAAAGCTACTTTGTTTTTCCCTGGGTTGTTTTTTACCAAAGTTCCAAGGCTTTTCCCTTTTTGAAACAACTTTTCGAACACTTTCGGTGTGGTGCCATGTTTCCAGAGTATGTCCAAGATGCTAACTCTATGAATTTTTCATTGGAATGAAGGCATTAACATTGGATCTTGCCCTCCCACAGTTAAAATACCAAATATGGACCTGTCAGTTAGATGTAAACCGTGCAGGGGTAGCAGTTCCAGTCAACTGACTCTGTCCAGCCTCTTTTAACACTTAAAGGAGAATATGAACGAAAATAAAACTATTGATATGTTGTAAAGGATATTCTAAAAGTCACATTCCGTGATTAAAATTGAACAAAAGGTTTGTAAAATAGCAAAAAAAACACAAAAACGTTCTCGTATTTCCGCCTATCACGGAAACACCCGACAGTTAATGAGCAGAGGGCGTATCACGTGACTTGACGTCGTAAGTGCCTGCTGCTGATGGCTTCCTCTTTGATTTTACCTCACAACTTAACAGTGTCCGTGGATGCTGAAGCAGTAAAAGATGTTCCTGATGTCATTTCCTAAATGGATGTTAGACCGTATCAATACGATCCGATTTTACATCTTACAAGACAATCTTCCACTGAAGATGAAGAAGAAGAATCAAGCGAAACGGAGGCACCGCTTGAGGTCAAAATATATTTAAAAATAGACCATATCATTATACAAGATTACTATTTATCAGCAAAATGTCATACAGTTCCAGCCAGCAAACTCACCCCTATAAATATTTGACCAGTCACTAAGAATTATTTAAAAAAAAATGTGATTACAGTTCATTATGTGTCAAATGGGTGACTGTAGAGTGTCTGGGATTTAAAAACAAAATAATTATGCTTCAGGCGAGGGAAAATAAAAATTATCTGCTTCAAAAATTACACTGGAATTATTTTGTTGAAAAGAATTAGGATCCTAGTTCTCATTAATAACGTATCAAGTCTGGATACAAGATCCCAGCCTGGTCGAGCAGAGATAATATTTGCAACGCAGATAAGTTATTCCCCGAAAACTGGTGAATTATAAAATAGTAGTCAGGACCATGTATGTTTCCCCATTGTTTGGTTATGGAAATATTTATGGTACTCGGTCAAAGCCTTAGAATGACATCCTGTCTGCCAATGAGAATACTTTCACGGCACACACTACTGACAAATAGTCTGATGACGACGTGCGTAATTGGATAAAATGAAAACAATGAAAGCAACAAGTACTTCATGATTTGCCGTTGTATTCGGCAATGTTTCGAGTTGCCTGCGTCATTTAGGGTTCCAAACCGAAAAGAACATTATAGCAAAACATTTTCAAGCTCTTGTGAAATCTCTTACTGATTTTGATAATATATACCAGTCGAACCAGTCGAACTGCCCCAGCTTCAAAATGCCCCAGCAAATTTGGTCATTCATTCTAATTTGTTCAAATTTATTCATAATGGTTGAATATATGCCGTAATGCATAGTTTTTTTGTCAACTTATTATGATATTATGTTCTTCATATAAAAGTTATTAGGAAGTAATATTTCTGATAAATGTCTCATTAGTAAAGTCATAACTATGTATATACTTATATATGAAGAACATAATTTCAAAGTTGACAAAACTATGCATTTATGGCCTATATTTATTCATTTTAAATAAATTGGGGCATTTTGACTACCCCACTGGGGCAATTTGACCAAATTTGCTGTGTCATTTTGTAGCGGGGGCAATTCGACTGGCAATTGGCCATGATTTGATATATGTTCAAAATACCACTGACAGTTGTTACAGGGATTGATGGAGTATTAATGAATCTCGTGCATACTTTTTTTCCTTCTTCAGCATAGCTTGAGGATTTCCATACCCCATGCATGCATGTCTCTTTCATATGCGTCAGACTCGGAATGATCGGCGCATTTCTCCTGAAATCTGTCATTTCACTTGGAAAACGGAAGAAATGGTGGTTCTTTCCCATGTTCGATGATGCCGTGCATCCCCAGGCAACGCAATACACCATCGTACCATTTAAAAAAACGACAGTAACAACACCATTTGTACTACTGTAGCGCTTGGTCTTTGGCAATATGGCGGACTCCAGGCACATTTGACGTCACGAGCGGAAAGGTCACGTGGGTTCCAGCGAAATATGCATAATGGCCGAAGCTGAGATTTACAGAAACTGTTTTTCGCGATTAAAACATAATTATACATAATTTTTAATTGAAAATTTGAGAATATGTTTCTGATGACTTTATCTTTCACCCAGCAAATTATTGCAATTCACTCGTATTCTCCTTTAATCTAATTAGTGTCACAACCAAATTTCATGAGATGTATCAGATTCTGCTATCACTAGTTGCTGTCACCACATTACTCCAAAGAGTTCACCATCATTTAAATTGAAATATAAAGTCTATTTTGTTTTGACTTCATCAGCATTGCCAAGTTTACAGGGTCGAAAAGATATTTAGTGGTGACATGTTTGAAGCATCATCTGTGAACCATGGAATTGACCTGTGAACCCCTCCTGTTGGGAAACAAGAATAAACAATAGAGGCCTGTGTATGGTCATAGACAGTTCTTTATTAATACAGAAGTACATGTTGCAATAAGCTGCCAAAACCATAGTAATTTAGCTCTTAACAGCCTTTATTATGTATCAGATCTCTGCATATAGGTGTCATACAGACATGGCAGTGAGCACAAAGTATAGCGCTTGAACCAATTTCAATTTGTTTCTAAGGAGCTACATATATTTACAATAAATACGTCACAGATTTGATTAGTGCAGATGCAGACCATTTTTTCTACAGGTTCCACTACACTGAATGAGAATCGCTTGCTCGCTGAGCCGGACCGTATGTAAACAAGTGAAGAGATACAGAGACATCTGATTGGATGAAATAGTGTAAGATGTTTTTGTTTTTTCAAAGCATATCCAACCAGTAATTAAAACTGACCACAATTTTACGCATTCAGTGCTGTCATTTTCATCACCATGACTTATGCTTATTGTGTGTACAGATATTTTCCAGTAGGTGACATTTGGTGCGGAACTGGGGTTGATGTGTTCCGCTTCCTGTGCTCGCAAAACAAGCCAGACAAGTTGGCCAGATATTGTGTTTTATTGTAGTGTAAAGGCCAGAGTATATCCATGTTTACATGGAATGGCTGTTGATAGCCTGGATAATTTAAAAATATAAAGGCTACTATAGGAAGTCTATGGGAAAACATTTGGTGGTGTGTGTGTAACCTGCATGGCAATGCTCAAGGTAAGGGCGGATAGCTCATCCCGACCTCAGTTGGTGAGGCCCGAAACCCAGGTCATGAGGGTAGCCTCAGTTTACGTTGATTTGAAGTAAATTCCTTCCACACAAAGATGGGAAATAGTATGTGCACTACAGGCTGTGGTAAATGGAAGATGTGTAATAGCTATATTTAGAGCTAGACTTGTTTTAATGGGTTTGTTATGATGAAATATGTTTTGAAAATTTGATTTTGTGGGGAAAATATTACACTAATGAAACTTTCTTATTTTAAAGAATAAAGTATAAACTTAATAAATCATACCTTAAGATAATTTTTTTCAAGTGACAAGGGCTTTTTTAAATCAAATTAAAAATGGGTGACTTTCAAATGTGGTCTGCATTTTTATCAATTTCATGATCGAGTTACCTCCCTTTGAAACGTAAAACTCCTTGCTAATGCTAATCTGTGTGATTTTGTGAAAGTTTTTGTGACTTTTTCAATGAGAAAGGATCGTTCAGTCTAGAAAAATAGAGACAATTTGCAAATGAAACAAATTGGGAAAATCTGAATGCAAAAATATACAAGGATCAGCGTTTGTCTGTTAAGAGCCCATGGCCTGTCTGTCTTAGTAATTCTACCATATCATTTAATTTCATATGAGTTTATATTTAGTATATATATATATTATATTTGTTTTAAAAGTGTTATTTGATCAATGTGACAACAAAAATCATCAGAAGATAATTATCCCACCAGTTCCACATAAATCCTAAGATCATTTTTCTGATTCATAAACAAACCCTTACCCGGAAGCAAGTCTAACCATTGAAATAAGAGTTTAGTATAATATCAAAATGCACCACTTCAGTACTTGACTGATGCATACAAATTTTCAGAAAAAAATAATGAACGGTTTTCAAGTTCTGCTCAGGAAACGAAATGAATTACAGACGACGGACAGGACAGGCGGACTGACAGAAAGGTATTACATACTGGTGGGATATTACACACATAATTTTCACTGATTAAATGATCATCAAAATCGTTATACATTCCCTAAATCGAAGATTTATCATCAAGTAGGGCTAGACTAAACTAAACAGACCAACGGTATCATAATGATAATCACTGATGACTGCAACATATTACACAAGATAAGAAACTGGTACTCTCACTGTATGTATATGCAACTATTCAATAAAAACATATCTTCCACTTAGTTCCTTTAACACTTCTTTGAATTTGTGGTTGACACACTGAGTGCAAAGACATTAATGCATGTTTTGGGAGAATTTCATCCATTTCCGGCTATTTTTTCTCCACTATTTTTCTAGTACTAAAATCTCAATGAACACCCTTGACCTTAAATTTTGTTCCCACCAATCAGCACACTTGTGATTTAAAGGTTTCATTTTTTCCACCAAAAGTGAATATTTTATGTGTGGTTGTCACTTTTTCTGTTTTGTTTATTTCTCGAGGTCCTGACGGTGCCATTTTTGTAGGATTTTTCACATGAGATATATATGGACAATAAAAATCTGTAAAAAATATGGTTTTCCTTCTTAAGTTTCATATTACATAAAGCCATTTTTCTTATAATAATAACACGTTTGGAAAAAAATTTGAGCATAGCTAAATTTATCATGTTGCCGCTTGCTCCTCACCTAGTCGCTATCGCTTAGTCTCTGAATATATACAAACAAACCCATTATAAATTGTAAAGGAGCCCCAGGGAAACCAGAACCTGAGGAAATCTAGACTTGTTTCATTTAGGGCTTTAGCACTGCAGAAAGGGCTAGGCAGTAGGGAAATGCTATTGTGGTTCAGGGACTGTGAGACAGACTAGACCCACACTCCATGACAGCTAATCAGAGCGCATTAGATATATGTTCACTCAGTGGGTGAAATTGACCTTCTACTTTTAGGCCAGTGTACATTCTTGTACTTAGGGCATATTTAGTCGGTCAGCAGATAGGGAACCAAGTAATTTATGAACCACTTGCGGTCAGTTCTGGTGCGTCAAAATAAAAACCCTCAAAACGGCTCTCATTCTGATGCCTGATATTCAGTGAATGAGACTGACGTTTCTCACCGATATCTTTTTTTCTTATTTGATTTAAGTATCTACCAACTAATAGATAAATACAACCCCAAAAACAGTCCACAACCATTACTAATTTCAGGAACTAACCAAATCCACAGGGGCGTATTATACTTCCTGGGTCCTACATTCGTTCCCTGATATCCTACATATCCTTCTATATATGTATATGGATAACAGTGAACGAACGTATTACATTCAGCAATACAAGCCCCTGTGACCAAATTTGTACGAATTGAATTCAGTAAAATTACTTAAAGGCCAAATGTAGAGATAGCATAACACATTACAACCTGTTTTATCACCCACACGGCATATTTTGACTGCATCAGTGCTTGTCACCCTCTGTTAGACCATGGGGTTAATACTCATTGACATGGGTTTGCTCAAATAATGAGCTGATACTGCAGTGTTGAGGAAGACTGGTAGTTATAGTTTCATGATGTCACTCTCCATTGTCGCTCTTTGCTGTTTCCTGTGATAGCTGAACTACACATATTTATATCAGCTACACAATTATATATCAGCTACACATTTTTATATCAGCTACACATATTTATATCAGCTACACATATTTATATCAGCTACACATTTTTATATCAGCTACACATATTTATATCAGCTGCACATTTTTATATCAGCTACACATTTTTATATCAGCTACACATTTTTATATCAGCTACACATATTTATATCAGCTGCACATTTTTATATCAGCTGCACATTTCTATATCAGCTACACAGTTTTATATCAGCTACACAGTTTTATATCAGCTACACATGTTTATATCAGCTACACAGTTTAATATCAGCTACACATTTTTATATCAGCTACACATATTTATATCAGCTACACATATTTATATCAGCTGCACATTTTTATATCAGCTACACATTTTTATATCAGCTACACATATTTATATCAGCTGCACATTTTTATATCAGCTACACATTTTTATATCAGCTGCACATTTCTATACCAGCTACACAGTTTTATATCAGCTACACAGTTTTATATCAGCTACACAGTTTTATATCACACAGTTTTATATCAGCTACACAGTTTTATATCAGCTACACATGTTTATATCAGCTACACAGTTTTATATCAGCTACACAGTTTTATATCAGCTACACATATTTATATCAGCTACACATATTTATATCAGCTGCACATTTTTATATCAGCTACACATTTTTATATCAGCTACACATTTTTATATCAGCTACACATATTTATATCAGCTACACATATTTATATCAGCTGCACATTTTTATATCAGCTACACATTTTTATATCAGCTGCACATTTCTATACCAGCTACACAGTTTTATATCAGCTACACATATTTATATCAGCTGCACATTTTTATATCAGCTACACATTTTTATATCAGCTGCACATTTCTATACCAGCTACTCAGTTTTATATCAGCTACACAGTTTTATATCAGCTACACAGTTTTATATCAGCTACACAGTTTTATATCAGCTACACAGTTTTATATCAGCTACACAGTTTTATATCAGCTACACATGTTTATATCAGCTACACAGTTTTATATCAGCTACACAGTTTTATATCAGCTACACAGTTTTATATCAGCTGCACATTTTTATATCAGCTACACAGTTTTATATCAGCTACACAGTTTTATATCAGCTACACAGTTTTATATCAGCTACACATGTTTATATCAGCTACACAGTTTTATATCAGCTACTCAGTTTTATATCAGCTACAAGTTTTATATCAGCTACACATTTTTATATCAGCTACACATTTTTATATCAGCTACACATTTCCTAAATGTTCATCATGTTCATGCAGAGGAAATATGCATCTGCTCTCTTGACCATAATATGTTTCAGTTACATTATTTATATCAAGAGTTTCTAACTTTCAAATATAGCTATTTTTGTACTGCTTTGAACCCTGCCCCTTTGGGTGTTTATGTGCAGTATATCTCCTCCACTGGTCTATCAGAGTAAAAAATATCAGTGTAAAGTGATGGAAATGTATATTTTGCACCTTTTCGTGCTAATAATACTAATTACCTTGTATTACGTTGTATTTTTCTGCACATGGTGCAGATTTGATATAGTTTCAAATGCTAGAGATTTTCCACTTCAATTTGACAAACAAATACATGTACTGATGCACTTGAATCTGTTTATATAATATTGAGCATGAATGCAGTCAGAAAACCCTTTTGGGCTTTCGTAATTCCATTGCAGATATATCTTTGCATATTTAATGCAGGAACATTTCCTCATGTCAAAGTCTAAATCCTGTACATTGTGTAACATAGGAAAGAGGGTAAACGCCAGTGGTCAGTAGATTAACTGAAAAATCAAGGATGAATCTCACTAAAGACGTTAAGACATGTTAAAACTTATTGGTTGGTCAATAGACCAACTGTTTCTATGCAGGGATATGTTATTAGTCTTTTATGTTTTTTAAAGTTCCCTGAGCGGTCAAATTGCATAAAAGGGTAATTTTGTTCAAAGCAGGGGTTTCTTAAACAAACTTTTTCTTTTTTAAAAATTGAGGTGAAGTTTAACATTTCTTTCAATACAAACAGTAAGAATTAAAGCCTCTTCCTGTTGTACCGGTAAGTTATTTTTACAAAGCCATAACAACAGTTTCAGAAATGCCTCTTTGATGCATCTATTCATGTTTGTGCCATTCATCATTGGCCCATCATTGGCTGATAGTTTACACTGTCGACTAATATCGACATTTCTGAACAGCACTGGACAGACAGTATTGATATAAGTCATAGAATCGATGATCGTTATTAGGAATAGTAACTTTGAACAAAAATCAAAAAGAAATCTGAAAGAAATCGACATATTTTGTATTAGTGGTGAGTTTTGACATTTATGCATGGATGACTAACAAAACTGCATCCTGAACATGACTTAGAAGCAACCCATGAATAAAGACATAACTTTGTATATCGTGTGAGTAAATTGAAACTATGTTTCATCACAAATGTTTATGTTCATGCATACTATTTATGATATTATGGGTATTCTTAAATTCCATTCAAATTGACTTGATGGCACAAGTTTTTTCCTTTGATCACCCTTCAAATCAAGTTCAAAGTTGCCATAGACTGTAAAAAGTCTAGTAAGGTCTAGCCTGTCTCATGCATTATTTTTACTTCCATCTATGCCTTTCTGCAATGCTAAACACCTAATTGAAGCCAGTCTAGATTTACTTAGGTTCAGGAATCTCCCATCTCACTGGAGCTCCTTTTCAGTTTAAAAGGAATTGTTTGTTTGTATCAAACTTATGTATATTCATAGACTAAGTGCTAGTCTCAGATGGTCCTGTTAGACGTGGAAATCATATCCAATCCGGTTATGGCTGGTAAGTTAATTAAATTTACAAAGGTTTCTGAATATGTAACATTGTAAATTCATAATTTATGTATGTTGTTAGGATGATAACCTAATCTAGTAGTATTTTAAATACTTTATCAGTTCAGAAGAAACAATATAATTTCTTAAGCTCAGTTTTGACTTAAAGTTCATAATCATTTTGAGAAGAATATTGTTAACATTTTAATGTTACATCATGTAGACAATTATGAATGGGATCAAGAGATGTTGAGCTTGGCAGAGGAGAAATGTGATCTTCAAATTGCAGAATCAGAGGAGGAGTCTCTGAGGCATTCCAAAGTGAGGAAGGGGTAGGTTATGTGATCCAGAGATCAATACCTTCACGTTAGTAGGTTTAAATTGTGAATACTATTTTCACAACTTTGTTAAATATATTTGTCTACCTTAACTAGGGATGGCGTGATACATCCAATTTTCATGAATCGATACGTATCACGATAAACATGAAACAATTGCAAAATGTAAACGATACATATGGAAAGATATTTCAAAACTAAATATCGATACAGTTTTGAATGTATTGATAATTGTACTGTCATAGAAAAAGTATCGATGTATTGATGTATCGTGGCATCCCTAACCTTAACAGCACCACAAACTTGCAATGCCCCATGAAGTAATGCCTCATGAATCTTTGCAAATTGTTTAACCCTTCTCAATATTAGTACAGTTACCTTGAATGGTAGTGTGCCGATCAGTACTGTGTGCAGCAATACATGTTTTAGGTATTATCTCAATACAGGATCTTTTACTATTGATAAATGTAACAGAAATTCAAAATGGCCAATAGGAGATTATTTGATAGACATGGAATAGCGTTATATACAGGTAGTCTGTCTTTGATGACATATATGAAAAATTTAAAGAAAAATTGTATTTATTCTCACAACAAGCAGTTCCAGACAAGTATTGTGGTTCTGATGATGGAAAACTTTTGGGCTCTTTTCATATATTTGGGTAATTTTCATCCTTTACCTTTTCAGGATTCAGATGTAGTATCTCAGCCAACTTCCTGGTCACTATGACCGCAAACCAACACTTTCCTGGTCACGTGACACTATTGTGAGTGTTAAATATTTTAAATCGCTACTTCTTGGGTGGGGGTAACATTGTGTCGTGAGGTATGATCAATAACTCCTCTCTGACGAAATCTCTCGGTGGCCCATCTTTCAAATAGTACAAGTTCGGTTCGTCGTCTTTGATGCCCACTTATCTATGTTGTAAGCTTTGATCGACCATTCGAGTGTCTCCTTCGTGTTCTCCGGGCTGGTAGTGGTACCTCACGAGAACCCGGTCAGGTATTTGTTTCTCTTTTCCTTTACGCTATGGTGCAGCCGATTCATCGTTCACTGATTTCAATTCAATAGCGTCGCCTGTTTTTTTGTGTGATTTCGTGATTGGTAGCCGCATGACCCATTCGGTGTAGGGTTTATTTAGACTTATTTCCTGCGTGTACTGATGTCCGAATAAGCGCTTGGTCAAAGTCCTATTGAATCTCTCGATGATGGCTTGGCTGCGATGAGCTCCGGCCGCGCCACACCTGACTTAGATGTCGTGCTTGGTTAGTAGTTGTGACACGGCACCCATGAACTCCTGTCCAGGATCGACTTACAGCTCAGTGGGTCATGCCAGCGGACTGCGCTTGTATATGCGCTCGAACGCATGAGCTACTTGGGTCGAATCTTTCGCGGTTAAGGGTTCCACTTCTTTGTAGCGGCTGGCCTCGTCAACGATGGTTAGGGCGTACTTGCATGTTTAAGGCACAGCTGTTTAGGTCCAGGCAACCTAGCTGGTACACACAGCATAGCTGGCAGAGTCAGGAAGGCAGAGAGAGATAAGGCAGAGTGAGATGGCATAGTGTAAAGTATGGAATGGATTTTGGAATGGAATTTGGAGTGACACAAATTTGCTATTTATAAACAAGTCTCCGCTCTAATATGCTAAGACAGTTTATAAACAGCTGATCACTGATATATAGCACTAAGGAAAAGGACGTGGGTGTCAGCTTCTCTCTCCAGCCATGACCCATCCACCACACACTCAGAGGCACATGACTCTGGGGGAATAAGTTTTGAGTTCAAATACTATTTTCTAGGTTATGTAGATAATAAGAACAAGATATATCGAAGAAAGGCCGATGGCATGTGCTGTCTACGTATCTAGACTTGCTTATTATGGGGATAGAATTACAAATATATATCCCTGCAATAATTATTCTGTACATCTTTGAAGCAAGGCTAACTGCACGCCTGTATGGTGGCAGGCACCTGTGTTGTGGCAGGATTAGACATATATTGAGGAGGAAACGGATTATTCAACACAATAGTCTCATGATATATTTAGGAAGCACAACAGAACACCATGTGAAGGAAAGTAACATATATATTAGAACTAATTTTGACATTAATCTTGTTTATTATCATAAAAAGCAATCTATAATGTCTATATTATCACAAATGTTACATAGTCTCAGTAACTGTCACTTAAAATCACAATTACTTGATTATATACAAAATAAGAACAAGTTGTTCACTCAACTATTGTGTCCCATAGACACAGATGCAGATGACTATATTTACCAAGGTACTACTATAACGACTTACACAGCTAGTAGATAATATTCCAGTCATCTCATTAAATGCAAATTATTAGCAGTGGTAAATGGAAAATAAAATGATTAAGGGACTGTGAGACAGGCTATTGCCACACCTCTGTCTGCCACTAACCTTATCGTACATCTGGAAGGTGTGCAAGAAATTTGGAACAGGAGGGAAAGCAACACCCGAACTGTTTACAAATTGTCAATTTAATTTATGTCTGAAGGTAGGCACAACACTTGGTTTGTTTAGTACAAGATGAGTATATTCCATTTATTCCCATTCCAAATTCCATTCCATCATTCCAATCCAAACTCCATTCCAAAATCCATTCCATACTTTACACTATGCCCTATATAATAGCTTCGTGTCACCCCGAGTGCTTGTTGATTAAGAGTTGACAGATGAAAATGTGAGGCCAGATTCCAGACCACTGGTGAGGATGTTGGTCCGGCCAGCCATCGTAGTTAGCTATGTATGCTTTGTAACCCGACCCCCAAAGTGAATTAGTTTTCTTGCATATGTTAACAGACCCTGAACCTGGGGAAGTCTAGACTTGCTTCATTTAGGGCTTTAGCATTGCAGGGAGGGCTAGGCTGCAGGGAGAATAATATGGTTCAAGGACTGTGAGACAGACTGATCAACGCGTCTATGCATCAACTTGTAAACCACTTAAATCGTCATCGTGTGTTATCCAAGTATCTTTTACATACGATTCTAGGTATTCAACATTCAAATCAGCTCGGCTTATGGTATTTGGACTGTTTTGTTTGGCTTAGTTCCACATAACTTTGCCAACATATTTGTACGCGTGCAATCAGGCATTATCATTCAGTAATGGCGAGAAGGTTGCCCATATGGTGCTATAGTGTAAAGTATGGAATGCAGTGTCTATTCTAGAAATAAAAATCTAGGGGGGATTTGTCCCCCCATCATGTAAAAAAGAGGGGGGATTTGGAAACAGTAGGGGGGAATACCACTATTGCTGTCCCTCTAAATAATGTACCTGTAACCTCATGTGAATATAGAATAACAAACAATATGAAGATTGTTTTTTAGGTGAGTTCTATCTTTTTCTGTAATGACTGAAATGAATTTCCAAACTAGATTCCTTGAAATTCACATCTTTAAAACTCTATTTAATGCTTACAAATAATTTGTCCACATCCTGTCCACTCAAAGTCAACTTCATAACTTCTGATTCAGATTGTTACATATTGAAAGAACATCTTTGAAAGATCCTCCTTTGCTTTTTGGTTTTGAATTCCTCAAGGGCCTTGCTGGCATCAAAGGTTGAAACAGGTGGGCCCTCAATACTTATTATCATCAACTCTTTGAGTGCCTTCTCACTCAGTCTGTTTCTATGTGATGTTTTTATAATATTTTGACTTGAGAAACCACGTTCACAAATTGCTGTCTGGACTGGCAAAGTTAATCCAATACAGGCAAGCTTCAGGTTTGGGAAAAGGTCCTTGTGACAGCCATCAATGATTCTCCATAACTCATGGAATTTGTCTCTTGGATACCTCTGCTGAATCAGGAGGCGTTTTAACAGGTCAAATTCTTGTTTAGCTGACCCTGCATCGATGAGGGCGGGCACACACCCTTAGGGCTGCCATATTGAGAGATTAACACATCTAGTTTCTCCTTACCATGACTTTGAAGATTTGTTTCAGCAACAAATGACAAGTCCCTGAATGCCAACACATCAAAAGATGAAATCACTGTAACACTTTCAGGGGGGAATCTTGTGTTAAGATTTCCGATCAGTGTCTTAATAAAGGTTGTCATGGTTGACTTCACAACTGCCTCCTGCTGTTTCTTGTATTTCAGTTCGTGTCCATAGAGGTGATTGTCATCTGTCAACAGAGACTGGAACTCTTGTCTGTAATGTCCATCATTTTCTTTCAGGTACTGAAGTTTATCAATTGTACTGGCAACCACTGGCTTCAGTGATGCAACATCCAAACTGTCTTTTGCATCACCAAATTAGAAGCTCAGTTATCACTGGTATTACATCCATAAGACTCCAGGTCAGCGCAGCAAACTTGAAGTTAGTGATTGACTTCAAAAGACCTGTAGCTTTGGATCCCTTTGATAGTTCAGTTGATTGAAAATATACAACCAGGCTGTTCCAGGATTTGTAGATAGCTTCCAACACATTGTAGAAGCTGAAACCATCTTATATCATGCATTTTTCCTACTTTGATATGAGGCTGATTGAGCAGTTCCTGTAGCCTAGCTAGTCTGCTGCTTCTAACTGATGACCCTTTGAAATAATAGTACAGGCTTGTGAGAGTAGATTTGTACTGTTGCATAACGTCAATCTTGGCAGCAGACTGGCTTGTAAATAATGCAAGTCTATGTGCAACGCAATGGATGTTGATAAGAAATGGGGATGATCTTCTAAGCTGTGCTGCTACACCATTTATAGATCCAGTCATAACACTGGCACCATCAGATGCAAAACACATAATCTGTTTCACATCAACACCAATATCATTGAAAATTGCAAGGAGTTTCTGGGTTATAGCATCTGCTCCCTTTTCACCTAAGTCAAAATTTCCCAGAGAGTGTGATCTCACATTAAAGTCTTTGTCAACAAATTTGACATAAAGAATGAGCTTTCCTGTCACTGAAATGTCTGTGCTTTCATCTATCAGAATTGCTACACAATAAGCATCCTTTAAATCTCCAATTATTTGAGCCATGATTGTATTCGCAATTGCTTCCTGAATGTCTTCAGCAAGAGACCGATACGTGTATGTGGCATTACCCCCAACAGTAAGATGTTTAACATTGGTGC